CCCCAAAACCCCAAAACCCCAGAAGGAGCATAATATTTGTATCTTAAAATAAATGATGATAAACAATTTAACAAGTCAATATTTATTTTTATAGTGGATTCTAATACACGAAAATGAAATCAATAAAATCATTGAATTTGCAAGGCATCAGACGTAAAACAGAAAAAGGTGTAAAGCTTCAAGTGATCTAAGCAAATAAAAACGACACAAAAGACAACTAGAGTCAGTTGTTGTATTCTGAGACGCTATCTTCTAGGGTACTAATTTTATATTCATCTAAAAATAGTCTGATGATGCTCTTAGTACTAACACAAGAACCCCTCATACAAAAAAAGCAGAAAATATGTAAAAGTCTAAATCCAAAAAGAGCATAAACAGCGGAATATACTCAAGAGTGAATTTGAATTAACTTCAGTAGATGTAAACACAAATGCTTTAGAATTAAGAGCTCTCTGCCTCTAAATTTGACTTTGCAGATGACCTTACCCAGGATATTCATCATTTAGCAAAAAAGCACAAAGTTCCAAATTTCCTCGTTAATGCGCGAGACAATGACCTGATTTTGCCAAAAGACAAAGCACGATAGAAAATGAAAAGATTAACTCTTAGAAAGAGAAGCACTAAGTATAGCTTTGATTCAGATGAGTCTGATTTTGAACTTCCTTAGAATGAGTAGCATATGGTGGTAAAACTTAAAGATAATGATTATTTGAAACTGTATCAGATGAAAAATCCAATGCATGATAGTGACAGAGAGTGTGCGAGAAGTATAATGTATAATCTAAAGATGCCTGATGAATAAACAATGAAATTCAATCCTTATCTTAATAAAACACCTGCAAAAGAACCAATGTTGAATTTGCATACATAAGAACTCTTTAGCATGGCGTAAATAACTCTCGAAAAAAAGCTTAAATATAAAAATTACTATGAAGATGAAATCATAGCTGAGGAAAATTTGGAAATCGAAAACAAAAAGTAAAAGTAGCTAAAGAATTTTTAGAATAATTACATAGACAGAGAAAATTCATCTTCAAGGAAAAAATAAGATTTGCAGTCAATTATTGATGAATAGATAAAATATAGAATGCTGTTGTAATATTAAAAAGTTACAGAAAGACCTGGAAACTCTAAAAATAAAAAGAAAATGCCTCTGTCTAACCTCTCTCGAGAAATACTTATGATTCCATAACACAAACTTAAGGGAAAATTCTTATAGAAAAATAAAGAGTTAGAACTTTTCATGCCAGGGGGTAATCTACATAAATATGATACAAATACCCTTGTAAGCGAAATGGACAAAGAGAGGCTAATTAAAAATTCCCCTGAAATTCTATAATCTGTTCTAGAGAGAGATTATTCTGACCCATTAATCAGAGTAAGCCATATTTTACCTTGAAACTTTGTCAATGCTATGAAATAAAAGTATAACATCAGCAAAGAATTTTTGGATCCTTAAGTAAGACGACATAGATCAGTAAGCGTTGATGAATAGTAATAAAACAACAGCAAAGGAATGGCTTGTGATGTAGGAGTATTCATTTAAGATAGCAAGAATAGTTTCATGAAATTGCAGCTGAAAACCTTAGATTAAAACAAACATAAAAAGGGCAGAAGCATGCTTCTTCTACCAGGTCTTAATCCTCATGAATTAAATCATAGTAGAAATAAGTAGATTCATCCCTACGGCGATTATACTCACAATAAAAATAAATCCCAAGAAATATAAAAGCAATTATTCTAGAGTAACATGAAGATAAATTAGAATATAAGAAAAACTTCATAGAAATAATACGATATTCTCTAAAAGTACAAAAGAAAACTTGACTAGTGTGATAAATTGATAGATAAACATGACGTTTATATAAATCGAGTCGAAAGTACTTAGTTATTGGTTAACAGGTTCACTAGCAATAATGAAGAAAAGCCCCCTAATTTTGAGATGTATGAAAAACTATTTTAGATAAAAGAAAAAGCCTGGACTCAGAATGAGATCAGGAAAATAGATACTGACTACCAAAGAAAACTTCACATAGCATTAACTTAAAAGAAATCCATCGAATAATAATTTTGAGAAATCTAATAATAATTTGGTTTAAAATAATACTATAAATTTTATTTCATAACTTATTCTGATATAATAAATTTTAACCATGGGGTTTTGGGGTTTTGGGG